GTGCTGGAGAGCTTTAGTGTCAACTTGACACACCTGGGTTGAGGGAGCCTCAGTTGGGGAATTGCTTCTATTGGACTGGCCTGTGGCCTGAGGGGCATCTTCTTGATGAGTGATGTGGGAGGGCCCAGCCCACTGTGGGTGGTGCCACCCCTGGGCAGGTGGGCCTGTGTTGCATAAGTAAGCAGGCTGAGCAGGGGCCAGGGGAGCAAGCCAGTTTTTCATGGCCTGTGCTCCAGCTCCTGCCTCCAGGTTCCTGCTGAGTTCCTACCTTGGGCTCCCAGATGAACTGTGACCTGGGAGTTGTAAGCTGAATAAACCCTTCCCTCCCCAAGTTGGTAGTGGTCAGAGTACTTTGTCACAGCAATGAAGAACAAACTCAAGACAATCACTGAACCTGAAGCTCACTATTTTGGCTAGGCAGCTGGCCAGTAAGCCCTGCACATCTACCAGTCTCTGTCTTACAACGTGTTGTAGGGATATGCATCCATCCCTGGTTTTCTATGTGGGTGCTAGGGATTCAAACTAGGTTATTATGCTTTCCATAGCAAGTGTTAACAACAGACCCATTGCCCCAGCTTTGATAGCTCATCTTAAAGTTTTCACAATGAAGACAATTGCCAAATGTTTTAGATACATTTACAAAAAATCCTAAGCATGCTATTTTATTATTAAATTCATGGATGCTATGCTACTTTCCTTTTTTTACTTCAAATGCCAAGAAACAAATTATTAAGCCAGCTGTATATTCTTAAGAGAACTGGTCAGCATGTTATTCCTTTTAATATTCTTATAGACTGAAGTAAATCTAATTTAAAGTGGTGCTATGCCTTTTCTTGGAATTTTTGTGGTCAAACCCAGGGCTCTCTGCTCATGTTAGGTGAGTTCTATCATTGAGCCAACAACCTCAAACCAAGAATAAAAATTAAAAAGGCCAGAGAGGTGGTTCAAGGAGTGAAAGAGCTTGCTGCCAAGGCAAGCTAAACCTAATCCTGAGACCCTCCTGCAAGTTTTCTACATATGTGATATGCACATCCCCCCTGCACACAAAAACTTATTTCATCAAGATAATGTAAACATAGATCAAATGACAAATTCTGTCACTCTTATTAGTTGGTGTTCAGGTTTTTTAATTTTATTATTTTTATTTTATGTGTATGCGGCGTGTATTGCCTTCATGTAGGTAAGTGCGCCTGTGTTGTACAATGCCCACGGAGGTCAGAAGAGGCTGTCAGATCCCCTGGGACTGGAGTTACAGACAGTTGTTAGCTGCCATGTAGGTGCTGGGATTCGAGCCCAGGTCTTCTGCAAGATCAGTGTTCTTAACCGCTGAGCCATCTCTCCAGACCCCAGGTTTTTTTTTTAACTCTATAATTTTCAATGGTTATTACTAATATTTTTGTACATAAAATTTGATTGTACATCTCTATAAATATTTTTAACAGGTCCTTAGTAGGAATGTCATTCTCCTGCCATTTTTACTGCAAATAAATATCAATATATTAATGTGGTCACGGAGAAATGGTACTATCTGATTTTAAAGTATAGGCGGTGCATGTCTCCACTCGCCACTTGGGAGACAGAGGCAGGAGGATGGCAAGCTTGTGGGCAGCCTGGGCTATATAAGGAAATATTTGAATGTGCCTGCAATTTGCTTTGGCAAAGGATCCAAGTATTTTTCAATCTCTCAAAATAAATGAGAACTCTAGAACAATTTACCATTTCTTCATTTTTGTTTTATGGCCTATTTCTAGCTATATTCTAGTCCAAATATACATTCATTCTTGCATAGGTACCATAATGATTTAGTCACTAGCTTCACATTAGAAGCTAGTTGTATATTTCCAGCAAAAGTACTTCATTCCAACTTTTTTATTTTAAATTTTTAGATAAACTGTAGAATCAAATTTCAAAAAGACAGTTTGGTAGAAACTAAGGGGTAGAGAGAATATGGGTGCATTTATATACATAGCATTTATTCTTTCTGTTGATGAATATGGGATTTCTACATCCTGAGATTGTAAAAGCACTTCTCAATGATGGTTTGTGTCACCTATCTAATTAAGCTCACCCCTTGGTAGTTTCTTAGTTTTACTGAAAATGAAAAACAAAAAACAAAACCCCCAAACAAAAAAAATTCCCCAAAACTTGTCTCAAGCCAGGCATGGTGGAGCATACCTTTAGTCCCAGCAGGCAGACCTCTGTGAGTTGAAGTCTAGCCTGGTTTACATACTGAGGCCAGCTGGGGCTATAGGGAGACCCTGTTTCAAAGACCAAAAAACCCACCCAAAACAAACAAACAAATCCAACCCCCTAAAACAAACAAAAAACTTGTCTCTATTCATTTTCTTAGTATAAAAGTGGTATGCACTTTTATATATTTAACTTCTAACCAAGGCTTTTATTTAACTATTGTTTCTAAATTTCTCAGTTGATTATGTATTCTAAGGAACACAGATATGTCATTTACAAATGAACATTATACCCCTCCTTGCTTCAATGGGAATTAATACCATTTTATAATTGTAGCTTTAGTATCCTTTGATTTTTTTTTCTTTTTGAGACAGCCTTACGTCTAGGCTGGCTGAATTTTTTTTTTAATTTGGTTTATTTATTTTTATTTTATGTGTATGAGTGTATTGCCTGCCTGTAAGTGCACCTGTGTTGTACAATGCTCACAGAGGCCAGAAGAGGGTATCAGATTCCCTGGAACTGGGAAGACACTACAGACAGTTGTTAGTGTCTATGTGGGTGCTGGGAATCAAATCCAGGTTTCTGGAAGAGCAGCTAGTGCTTTTAACTGCTGAGCTATTTCTCCAGCACCCACCAGGCTGGCTTTAAATATAAGATTTTCCTGCCAGTCTCCTGAGAGCTGGAAAGAAAGAATCTATAATCTTTACAGTATGTGGTATTAGTATTCTTACTTGACAAGAAAGAATATTTTGTGTAGAATAATAACAGCAGTAATTTCTATTATGGGTTTAATACTGTATCTAGTACTTTATATACATTATTCAATTTTTATTGGCCTATATAAAGCAGGTATTACTATTCCCACTTTAAGATGAAGCTCAGAGGCATTTATTAACATCATATAAAGGATAGAAAACTAATTGTTTTCTACTCTGAATGTGTGCCTCTTCATTTTTGTCATTAACTTTCCTCAGTATTATTATAGATAAAATCTTTTGGAACTGAACAAACAAAAATAATTCCTCGTATTTATAGTACTCATACTACTTTGTAGTGATGGAAATTACTCATTTGACTACTGACTGATTTACTTATTAATTGTTTTCCTTCTGTTTATATTGATCCTTATGGACAAGGTGTGTTCTGTAAAGTTTCTCACTGCTTGTTTGAGACTAGAGCAGAAGCTTAATAAAGGCCTAGCAGTCCTAATTCCATTCCACTGAGGGCATCAAGTAACAAAGGCAATTTCTCTCTAAGTGTTTGCTTGTCAGGACAAGAGCTGCTATATAATCTTTCTTCTTCAAGATTAACTATATACCTATACAACAAACCCACCAGATAGGGACATATACCATAGTCCAATTCAGCTGAGTTACTCTAACTATACTCTAAAAGGTGCTAATAAAGAAATACTATTGATGAAAATCTGCCACAAAGATTTTGTTATGTTACACTTCATGAAATCTCCCTCATCTAATAAATAGATTAAAATATTTAAACAATATCATGTGGTTGTCAACTTTTCCCCCTAATAAAATCTTGGGGAAAATAAAAATTAAAGTAGGATTCCAACATAAAGTAGATAGTACTAGTAAAATTTATTTAATTAAATTCAACTTCACAATAATTACTCAGCAAGTTAACAGTGAAGTGGTTTTGACAAAATTCTGAAATATTATGTTAGCTGGAGCCTTAAATGAGCTTTAGTATCTAATTTGTTTTTGCAATTTTTTTTGAGATAGGGTCTCAATGTAGCTCAGGCTGGCCTTGAACTTTCAGTAATCCTCTTGCATCATTCTGCCTCCCAAGTACTGGAATTGTAACTGCGCAACACCATACCTAGCTTTGGGATTTTGTTTTGATTACACAATATTCAGAAAACTGATTTAGAAATAAGCTTATGAAAATCACAGAGAACTTCTTCCTTCTGGTTTTGAAGGTAGGGACTGAAATAAGGGTACTACAAAAGCTCTAAAAACATGTGCTCTATCATTGAGCCACACATCCTCAGCCTGATAAGTATCCAATTAAACCGATATTGGCAGGAGGAAACATTGATAAAAACAATGCATGAGAATGTTAAGTAAGATGTCACAAGGACTCTGGTACATGCCTGTAATTGTACATGAAAGGGAAGATGACATTAGGATTTGAGTTTGAGGCCAGCCTGTATCAAACAGAGAAACATCGCCTTAAAAAATAATAAAAGACAAAAAATAATAAATAAGGCATCACAAGTCAACGCAGCAATGCTTTTAAATTTAGAAACTCTACAGAAGAACATTGTGGTTCCAATTGAACAGATGATTTGGTTTAAAAACTCATGAGGATTTTAAATTAGACTTAAAGCCATTTTCTCAAAAATTTTATAACTGGACAAGTCCGTTGGAAAACAATTAATGATGATTCCTCATTTATTTCATTCACTTCCTGCCCCCTTAGCTAGGTCCCACCCAATAACCACTACGAATTTTTCACTTTTTTCCTAAACATTAGTGTTCCAGCAAATTTTTTTGTCCCCCCTTATAAAAATGAATACAGATTTCCTAAACTTACTACTTTAAACGTATCTAACCTTTTTTATAACCATTTCTGCTGTTATCTGTATACTGTCTAGTTCCTTCTTTGTCGTCCTGGGAAAACTGATCCCTGACTTGAGCTCTTTCTCTTCCTCTGTAAAGACAGATGTAAAGTAACTATTTAGAGAACATGCTATTTCTTTTTTTATATCAGAGTACCAATACTGAAAATTTTAATGTGAACCTCAAATGATTGCTCATGTAGAATTTAGAAAGGTGTTAGAGACATACCTGCATTGTCTTTACAGATACTAGAAGAATTACTACTCTCATTACTTTGGTATAGATGCTGAGTTCTAGTCTCCTGGGGTACAGATGAAGTCTGAGTCATCCCTTCTTCCAAGGCTTGCTTTATCCAGCGCTACAATGATAAAAACAAAAACAAAAACAAAAACAAAAACACAAAGACCCAGAGAATAATCTATAAACATTAAAAACTATTTAGTAAATTTATTTTGAATGTACTAACCAGGTCATTATACATTAGCTGGTAAGATATGCAATTCAAATACATTCACACGGTTCCACAGTCAAGTGTTTTACACTGTTTTACACTGCCCATGCCATCAGGACTGGCTTTTGCTGCTCTTTCTTTTCTTTTTCTTTCCTATTATGAAGTTTATTTTTTTGAGACAAGACTTTCTTATAGCCCACACTGGCCTGAAACTTGCTATGTAGTTGAAGACAACTTTGAACTTCTTTACCTCCCAAGTACTGGGATTAGAGGCTTGCATCACCAGGCTCTGTTTATGTGATGCTGGGATTGAATCCAGGACTTCATCCACGCTAGGCAGGCATTTATCTACCAACTAAGCTATATTCCCAGCCCCCCCACAATCAAGTCTTGTATTTCAGGATATTAGAACATTGCCTCCATCAGCTCCTTCTACCAGGCCAAACTGAAACAGTCTGGAATTATGTATAATGGGAGCCCATCAACCAATAAAAATGGTAACTATCCAACTTTCCACACAACTTAGGACAGTATAAATGGTTAAAGGTAGTAAGAAATTTAAGTATTTACTTGAGAGACTGGTCACATGCAACAAACCTAGTACATTAATATGCAAATAAGATAAAGATCCCTTAAGATGTTGGACACATCAGAAGAGGTAAAGATTCACAGGAAGATTTTGGATGAGAATAAAGAACTTTTTACTACAGGTACCAAATACTTTAAAAAGTCTATAATCTAGTGGAATAACCTATGTATGAACTTCCTCCCTTATTAAATAGTTGAGGTAAATTATGCCTGAGTAATACAAATCACCAGAAAAAAACCACCATCTGAAGAAACCAAAAGGGGAAAAAGTAAAAAAAGTTCTCTCAATCAGTTACATTCATTTTTAGTAATTAATACTGGAATATGAATGGATGAAAAATAAATTTAGGTCAGAAGTAAACCTGAAAAAATTCTAATAATAAGTTTATGTATCCTGTGGAAGAGAAAATTTCTTACCTGTAATTGTGTTCTTTTAAGATACACAGGTGTAGGTTGCTCACCATTCTGTGGCTCTCCTGCCCTGACATAAGACAGATCGAATTTTGATAAACATCCATTTCAGTCAGACCCTCTCCAAATAGGAAGAGCAAAGGTGAATTATTATAATTTTACACCTTTAGAGAACATGTACCACAGGTAAGTAAATATTCTCTTCAACAAAGAGAGTAATTCTGGTAGATGTGGGGCAATTCAGGGAAATTTTACTAAAAAAAATATTGTATGATGTAAATATTTTTGTGGTTTATCAAATTTAAAAAACAAACAGAAAACCAAAACCAAAACAATAAAAAGGTAGAGATAAGAGTGAATGGATACATTAAAAAAAAAAAATTAAAAAAAAAGTTTTCAGCCAGGCACAGTGACCTTTAATCCCAGCACTTGGGAGACAGAGGCAGGTAGATCTTTATGAGATTGAGGATAGCCTGGTCTACATAGTGAGTTCGAGGTCACTTGGTGCTACAGGAAGACTGTTTCAACCCACCCCCCAAAGCAAAGCTATTCAGGGTTACTTGAATCATATTAATATTATATTATGATATAACAAGATGTTTGAAAAGGCAAGACCAAGAATGATGTGCTCTCTTACATACAGAATACTGCAATACAGAGGAACCATCAGAAGTAAAGATCCTTAGAATTTAGAAGACCTTGGAGGACATCTTGTTCTAAAACCCACTTTTTCATAGATGTGGGGTATTAGGACTGGGAGAAGAAGATAAGTGAAAACTCCTTTGCTACAGATACATTTATACAAGTTATTTTAAATTTA